GACAGAGAATAATAGAGAAAAGCATAATAGAATGACCATCAAGCAAAAAGAGCTAAACTCTTTTGTGAATATCAGTCAGTATACAGACATTGGAATTTGAGACCCATCATTTGTAACTCTATAAACCAAGTGCTTTGAGACCTCCTTCAGCTCCTTCAGCTTTTACTATGGTAATTCTGCCAACACCCTATTGTCTCTGTGGATTTCAGTTTTGTTCCTTGACACTATCTCCTTGTAAAGCTTCTTCTCACTGGAAAAAAAAAAAAGAAAGATGGGGGGAAGAAAAAACAAAAAGCGAAAAAAAAATGTCCATGTGCAGGTTTGTTTTTAATTAATTGTTGCTAAGATAATATGTTCTCTGGAAATAGTTATGATACAAATGTCTTTCTTCTGAAAACCTACCATGCACCCCTACTGTCTACAGAATGCATCATGTTTTTTAAGACTACAACATTCTTTGCTTATCAGTGTCTGTCCCATTTCTAATCTTGTCTAGATGAACTGCTTGCACTAGTTTAAGTACTTGTTTCTCACGTCTAAGACTCTGGTCTGTCCATATGTATTCTAGAATTCGTTTTTACCCTCAGGTCAACCCAGTCTTCATATCTATCAGAATTCTGCCCAGAACTCATGGCTCTGTGAATCTTCTTTCCCTCTGTTTTTACCACCATATGACCTTAACTAACTATCCCTTCTCTGTCTATTGCACTGCATTTCAGGTTTATTAAAATGCTCATTTTTCTTCATAAGTAGGTTTTCCTACCTGCTTTCCTATGAAGATTATGATTGACCTTAGTGTTTCTTTATTGCAGCATGTGGGAAATTACTGAAACACTTGAAGTAATGTATTTAATCTGTAATGTCTCTTTTCCCAAGGACTACCGTTATACTTCATGCAGTGTCCATGCAAGACTAATGTTAGGGTCTAGTCATAATTCAGATATTGCCTTCCTTCTAATGTTAAACTTCTTGAGTTTTGTTGGCTCAGAATCACATTATAAAGAATGATAAAATGATACTCTGTACTTTTAGTTTCTATATTTTTAATCCTAATGTACATATTGTATTCTTCAATCCACTCTTTCCCTCCTCTCTTAGTAGGGCTAATATATGCTGTATAGGTTGTATTCTTTTGAATGTGACTTTGAGCCAGCAAAACTCATACATTTATTGTTTCTCGCTTGGCATGCCTCTGCGGCTTCCCTCAACTGACCTCTTTTAATCTACAGTTCTTTCCTGTTCCCATTACCCTGCTATGTTTCTGGATGTCCTGACTACATGGTAACCATCTTATGGACCTCTGTGTCCTATCCTAAATTTCTCAGTGCACTAAAGCTCATTAAAAAGAGTATCTGCATACATTTATTAGAGACAGTGATGGAGTTCAATGACATTGGTATTCGGTTTTATCATGTATTTTGATCATATTCACTTCCCATGTCCCTTTCTAATCCCTCATTTCGTGCTCGCCACCTTCATTTCCCCACACCGTCTCCTTTCCAATTTCACAATTAACTTATTTCCAGTATAATTTCTACTCCCCCACCTTAATATTTTTCTTTCTCTTTTTATTTATTGGATTTTTTAAATTTACATTTAAAATGTTATCCCATTTTCCCAGTTTCCCCTTCAGAACACCCCCTCCATCATACCCTCCCTCCTCCTGCTTCCATGAGGGTGCTTCCCTACCTACCCACTCCCTCCTCCATGCCCTCGCATTCCCCTACACTGGGGCATCAAGCCTTCCCAAGACCAAGGGCCTCTCCTCCCATTGATGTTCAACAAGGCTATCCTCTGCTACAAATGCAGCTGGAGCCATGAATCCCTCCATGTGTACTCTTTGGTTGGTAGTTTAGTCCCTGGGAGCTCTGGGGCATCTTGTTGGTCTGTAGCAAGCCTGTCTATTTGGGATCTCACTTTGAAGAACAGTTGGACGTTGAACTCACAGAGATCTGCTTCCTCTGCTTTCCACATACTGGGATTAAAGGCCTGCACCATCACGCCTAGCTCTTGTTTTCTTATCTTGATCTGTAGCACATCTGACATTTCAGTCACCCAGATAGATATTGCCTATTCATTCATTAATTTCCCTAAGTTTTCCTACTTGACATTTTAATGACACCATCCTTTCTGTCATTCAAGTTTCTTAGCACAATCTCCCTACTTAAAGCCATTTAAATATCTTTCTTTGACTGCAATAATAACTTTGTATAAGCACAAATCGATTCGATTTGTGATTCAAGTCTATCAAATAACTACCACAGTAGCTTATACTGTATACCCTTTATGAGTCCTCAGAGATGTCATAATGTGACACTTATCAATCTCAAATTTCTACTTATTCTTTATGTTCTAGCTAAACTAGCAAACTCATCACTACATTCGTCAAATATGTATTATTTCTCTATTAGACAAATGAAATTGTGTACATTGAAACAAAAAATACTACATTTAAATTTGATTATTTTTCACAACAAAATCCCAGATGAGTTAAAGTATGGGCCATAGAACTTACATATGAGTAAAAAAAAATTTGCTGTACAGAGACAAACATGGAGTAAGTATGAAAACTTTACTACTAAATATAACAGGACTGAACAGGTTATACAGCCAGATAGTGTCCTCGTTTACTAAATGTTACTAGCAAGAATAAAGAGCAACTTCAAATTGCTTTGCAAAAAATGAGAAGATAATGATTATAATGTATTTAGTGGTTGTTACACATAGCATTAAAAAGATAAACGTCTGTAATCACTATTATGACTATCATAACTGGAGGAGAAGAAGATAACCGCTCATTAGGTAAATAAATTTCTATGGATATTTTCAATAAAAGAGCAGAAAGAAAGGAGTTAGAGAGAGAGCGAGAGAAAGAGAGAGAGAGACAGACAGAGAGAGAGAGAGACAGAGAGAGACAGAGACAGAGAGAGAGACAGAGACAGAGACAGGGACAGAGAAACAGAGAGAAAAATACCTTTACTGATGTTGTTTGTAGAACCCTGAGTCCTTATATACTTTAGCAAAGAATTAGATTTATCTTCAGCCCATTTTGCAAACTTTTTATTACAGATTCATAGTTTTATCTTTATACAAACCTTACAGATTCCTTTCGTGGTTTGTTCTATTACTGTTAAAATAAATTCCCCCTGTATACTGAATATTAGTTTAATGTATTTATTTTTCCCAAATCTGGTGAATGTGAACAAACAAGAGTTTGCTACACATGACAAGACTATCTTAGTATTATTGAGTTCTACGTGTTCAGGTTAAGATGAAATCCTGGTCTCTATAAAGCTCTGTGTATCTTTGATATTACTATATCATTGCCACATAACTGAGGTTAGAGCCCCCTACTAGACTGGGGAGAGGGCTAAAAACTGTGTACTAGGCTGGAGGGGGACCCAGTTATTTTAAGTTATTGGACAATTGCCTTTCCTGTACAAGTTCCTTCACCAGCTTCTGAATTGTTGCCTTGTTTAATGTACCCCAGAATTTCTTGGGAAAGACAATAGAAAGAAACCATTTTCTAACCACGTGAACTTCTTGGAATTGAAGGCACTTTTTGAATATCTTACAAACCACAAAATTAGCATGTCATTAAGTACAGTATATATACAGCCGCAGAGTGTGATAGACCATCATCCTCTCAGCTTCACCTTCTTCACTCTTGTCCACCGCTAAAGGTAAGAACTTCAGACGTAAGTTTGAAATATTATTTTCATTATTTATTTCAAATAAATACTAGAGTATACTATAGAAATAATATATTTACTTAAAGTACATCTTTTTGAAATTAGGTATTTAAAAACTGATGCAATTATTTTAAAGGATAGGCTTTATGAAGGATAGGGTTTAAATAGTCAGAAATGCCTAGAAAAATTTGGTACAAATTGCAATGGCTACTGGCTTCATAAAAATGGGAAAATGTAGTAAAAATCACAAAGCCAGTGACTACTATAAAGAGGAGGCTAAGAATTATCTTTTAGTTAAGTTATCTTATTTGTCTTGATACATTATACTAGTATAATGCACTCAAATTATATCATGGAAAATAGATATTTATTATACAGCTGTTAGATACAGCCAATTACATGTTTATAAGCAAGACGATTGTAACCATAAAACTTGTCCAGGGACTTGTAATTCTTGATCTAGCTCATAGTATTACAAGAAATATTAGAAACCATGTGGAAAATAGAAACACACTCTTCTATTTTCTTAAAAAATAAATTCTAGAATGATCAGAACTGACTTAGAAGAAGTAATCATGGAAGTACGATGTGTTGAAAGAACTGTGGCTTAGAGCATACGACATAACAGTGAAATTCTTGTTTAAACTTGGTGTATAAAATGCCAAGGATTAAATATAACAACTGCAGTCTGATTCTCCCCACATTTAAAATATACAAAGATGCAACTTTCTTTTAATCTAAGATGACTGAAATATGTAGAAATCCATGGAGGAAGTTTTAGACAAGGAAGAATTAATAATGAATAATATAACATCCATCAGAAAGACCAAAAACATTTCTCTTCACTAATAGGATAAATTTCCACCTTCAAGTATTGGAAAGAATGCTTTATAAATATATTTAAATTTTTATTTTTCATGCTGTGATTACTCACAAACAACAAAAGAGTTAATATATATTACCAATTCACTCTAGAAGTAAGGCTCCACAATGCTGAGATACTAGTATTGTGTTCACTGTCTGGCCAACTGTAAGTGCTCTGTAGCTTTCAATAAATGGACTGTGAAATGTTTTGGTTGTTAGGAGCTCTTCATAGCTTTTGTAAGGCATTCATTCAACTGATAACAAAAAATAGTTAACATAGAAGAGTGGAGAAAGCTGGGAGCTGAGGAGCACTGATGATGGCCACAGCTGAAGTCTGAGTGTAGGGTTTAGTTATAGGAGTATTTAGGAACCAGGGTAGATTTTGTCTTGTTAACTGACTAATCTGTTACTAATTCTTCATTTCATTCTCAGGACTTGACAGTCATGAAGGTCTTCATCCTCGCCTGCCTCGTGGCACTTGCTCTTGCAAGAGAGGTGTGTAAGGAAGCTTCCTAAGTAATTAAAATGTAGGGGAGAGTCTGCTCACATATGCACAATAGCTTCAGTGATAGCTCTTAATGTATAACCCATGGAGAGTTTGGGATCTGTTTACTTAATCACCACTTCTTTGAGAATCACGCAGTATCTAAAAGTTCCTGTAGGGTCTACAAGCTGGAACAAATGCTGACTGCATTATTGTATCACAAATTATTTAACAACAACAACAAAAAAAACGAGAATAAGAAATTAAACAAGGCAATAGAAATACATCAAATAAGTACATGGCTTGACAAAAGTAAATTCACATGTGCAGCTTGAGTATCTCATGCTGATGATAAAGTGTATGTATCTCTTTAGATGAGCAGGTAAAGTCTTACTGTGCCTCTCCGAAGAGATATTCAGAGGTGGAAATGTAATCAAGAATAGTGGCTAGGCTCTGAGTAAAGTCATAGGCATAATAAAAAGTGTTTAGTGGAAATTAAAGTAATTTTTGCCAATCATCGAAGATTATATACACTTTTATATAATATAGTAATGTACCAATAAAAAATTATTACAAGATCAAAGAAATTGTAAATATAAATTTTCAAGATTATGAAAGCCAATTATCATTTTTTTTCAATTTCTGAAAGAGATAAAAGACAAGAAAATCAAATAGAAATTATGTTTAGTAACAAGGTAGATATAGAAACTAATAATGTTTTTTGGTTGCTTGTTTGCTTTTGCAGAAGGATGCATTTGCTGTATCCTCTGAGGTAAGAGTTTTTATTGAAACAAATTTCCAACTCTAAAATTGCTACATTTTTAATGATCTTGAAGTCCTAACTTGATCTATAATTTAACTTATATGTGTATGTATTTTTGTTTACAGACTGATAGCATTTCCAGTGAGGTAAGGCAATTGTCTCTCGGAGGCAGTACATGGCATCTTTCTGTTGAGATATATTGTGTTATTCATACTTTGTGTTAAGCATACTTTAACATATGCTTCTCAAGTAAATATCCTTTCCATGATATTAGGGGCAGAAAAAAATGGGAATATCTTCATGTTCTAATCACCATCAGTTTCTTATATGAAATGTTGTCACTGCTTCTTCAACCCTTCTTTATTTTAGAAGCTCACAATCTTGTTCACTACCATGAGCTCTCCATAATTTGACCTGGATTATTAATATTCACTGTGTGCCTTTTGGAGCACACTCATTGGCTAGGACCTATAGCACCAACTAAAGACAGATTCCAATAGAAATGACCTGCTTACTCTATAGTAGGTAGGCTGGCTTGCAGAAGGACACATTTAGTATTTAAATTTGTCACTTACGTAAATAAGAATAACAGGATACAATGTAGTCCTAAATTTACCTGAGAGTAGAACATAGATGTCTTTACCTTGAAGTACTTATCATTTGCTTATTATTTTATCTTCACAATGCTGCAAATATCTCAGAGGAACTATTCATTTCTCATGGTTCACTTGAAGCCTAGAGTATTAGCAAGTGAATTCAGAGTGATCACTAAAATATATTGTCATTAGTCTGTATTTTCAATTATGAGTGTGTGTTTTAAGAATGAAGTTTAAAAATCATTTGTAGACAGAGAAAGAATCCTGGTTGTAGAGGGGATTAGCATTAATTAGATATCTCTCTGTACACTTTGTTCACTAATTTATTTTTCTCTCTTGACTGTACTCACTCTTCTTGTACACAGTAGGCTTACAAATATGCTTTAAATAATTTAAATACAAGTCCCATCAATTTTCCCATTAGTAACCTGCTAAGATAACTTACTAAATACCTGAATTTTCAATATGTATTGAAAAATACTACTTATTCACTAAAAATAATGATTTTTTTTTTTTTTACTTTTCTGAAGGAAAATGAACACACCAGTGAGGTAAACACATTGTATTTTATTTCCGTGCTTTATTTTTGAGGGTGAAAAGTTTGAGAATTTTAAATGTGTTGTTTATTTCTGGCAGAAAATTCAGAAAGTGAATCTCATGGGACAGCTGCAGGCAGAGGTAAACTGCTTATCAAGAAATCATGTCTAGAAAGGGCATGTGGGCATCAGTACATTTTCTCCACCATGGCTGCAGTTACTAGTGGCATTATATGTTCTTAATAATGAACATAAGCCTTTCTCCAGTAGAAAACGTGTTCCTTTTATTTTCTAAGCGAGCATGTCGATCAAAGGACACGTTGACGATGTGGCACTGAACTGACCACCTACAGGATGGAGAATCTTGCTGATGAGTCTCTTTGTTGTATATTCTTTTCGCTCCTAGGCCAAAAAAAAAACGTTCTTAAGAATTTCTCATGCACGTAGTTAACTGGCTTTCAGTAGAGTCAATGGTTTATAGGCAGATTTTTATTTTGTGATAGCATTTACATTTTTTGTTTATCTGGTCTTAAGGACATTTTTGGTTCACAAGAGGAGTGAAAAATGGAGCAGCTGAGCGCAACACTGATTAAGCTATGACATAACGTAGCAGAGCATGACTTCAAATCAACAGTTATCTGAATAGCATCACGTTCCACCAGTATACCACACTTCCAGCCGTACACTCAGCGGAGTATAATGGAGTGTGATAGTTTTAGGTTTTTATTTTTCCCCAGTAAATTGCTTGCTGCTCACACTATAGCTTCAAATCAAACTAAAAGTTGATATCCCACTAAACCTTTTAAAATTAATCATACAAAACTGATTTGTTCTATTATCAACCCACAGAGTATGAAAAATCAGTGCTCTCTCATTCCGAAGTGTATAGCTACAGATGTAGAAACGGCTTGGGATAAAGTGAAAAGATTTTGAAAAATCTTGCACATCAGTTTTATTTTACACTACAATCCATCCACAAATAGAATAGGTTAGGAGAAATCCTTCAAGAACACTTTACTTATTTTCGTCATGTGACCCTAGGCAATGCTTTCTTATTTTGTATATCTTAGAAAGAAAAACCTTACTCTGTACCTCAGGATTTCCTAGAACTTACTTTTTATTCTTAGTTGGTCTCAAAGTAATAGCAATCCTCCTGCATCAGGCTTCAATTTGTTAGATTTAGAGCCATTAGACATCGTATTCAATTAGGCCGAGGTATTGTTTTAAGCAATGAAATCTTTTGTAGTTGTTCATTCTTTTGTTTATCATTAGGTAAAAGATTATTAATTAATCAAGAATGTCGACTATGCAGAATTGTGGACTAAAGGTTCTTTTCTTTCTAGGATGTGCTCCAGGCTAAAGTTCACCCCAGCATCCAGTCACAACCCCAGGCCTTTCCATATGCTCAGACCATCTCTTGCAATCCCCTCCCACAAAATGTCCAGCCTATTGCTCAACCACTTGTGGTGCCATCTGTTGGGCCTGTGATTTCTCCTGAACTGGAATCCTTCCTTAAAGCTAAAGCCACCATCCTTTCCAAGAGCAAACAGATGCCGTTCCTTAACTCTGAAACTGTGCTTAGCCCCTTTAACTCTCAAATCTCCAGCCTTGCCAGTCTTGCTAATCTGCACCTTCCTCAGTCTCTGGTCCAGCTCCTGGCACAGACTGTGCAGGCTTTTCCTCAGACTCCCGTGGTTGTTTCTTCTCAACCCCAGCAGTCTCTTTCTCAGTCCAAAATTCTGTACCTCCTGCAACAAGTAGCACCCTTCCTTCAACAAGATATGTCTGTCCAAGACCTTCTGCAGTACCTAGAACTTCTGCTTAACCCCACCCTCCAGTTCCCTGCCACTCAACAACTTCATTCCGTTTCTGTAAGTTCAAATTTTCTTCCCTTTAATTCCCCTCAAAATGTATATAAGATGATAATGATAAAGGAAACGAGAGTTCTGGATTGAAAGATTAGATATATAGCTCATTAATAAGTAGAGGATCCTCAGGGGTTAGCTATCAAGCCGAATCACCATGGAGATCTTCATTTTAACCCAATTCTCAGTGCCTACTGCCTAGTTACTCACAGATTCCGATATAACTGGTTATCTAGATAAAGTAACGGCGTGTTGAGAACAGATAATTATAAGTACACTGATTTAATTCGTAGATTTGGAATTCTGACTTAACAGAGTATCAAGCTAGACTAAACCACAGTTAAACCCGCCAATCTTATTAGATTTTGGTAACAAATTTTCTTTTGTAGAGTTCTAAAATTTGCTTGAGCTTATATATTATTCACACACTGCAGTTTATTTGTACTTTTGACTATATGTACATGGAGTCAAAAGATCGCAGTGTTTCATTTGCTACATGGTACACACTTTAGGCAAGTGTTATTGTAAGAGGGAAAACGTGTATTTATTTATTTGTATGTTTGCATTTAAGGTCTAAGAAGATTTCTGGGTTATTTTCTCCTCCTCATTTTTTGGTAAGTTCTTGGAAACTAAAGAGTAGAATGATAATTTTTATATTTTATATGTCTTTTTTTATTTCATTCTCCAATATAGACACAACAGAGTAGCAAATTTCATCAAAGTTTTCACTTACTACTATGGTTTAACTGGCTGACTGCTTCTTACCAGCATGACACTGGACAAAATTTATATTTCAAGGGGCTTTCATTTTATTTGTTTGCCACTGGCATATATCTATCTCCTTCCAAAAGCTTTTATCTTTACATCTCATATTATGCTGTGAAAAAAAAACAGAAATGAAGTTTTCTTATATTTTATGTGGATATATTTTTGCTTTTGTTACAGGTAAATTTTCATTTCAATGTGTAGTGTAGGTCTCATAAATTTTATATTTACTGAATGTAAAATTGTTCTTTCATTCATGAGTCAAAAACAAGCTACCCGGGTATTTAGAACCACAACAGAGCAGAGAATATAGTTTTGAGATTCTAAACTGTAGAACAACTCAGCACTGAAGAAAGATTATATATTCTGCAATAATTTCTTGTGAGCGGATTTGGCATTGAATAGGAGTTTATATGTTTTCAAGAAGAGGATCAATAGAGCATGTTTATAAAACAATTGATTTTAATGGTCAGAGGCAAATTAATATGACATAGCAGTTCTCAGCCTGTGGGTCAGGACCCCTATGGGGGTTGAAAGACATTTTCACAGAGGTAACATATCAGATATTTACATTATGATTTATAACAGTAGCAAAATTCCATTTATGAAGCAACAATACAATGAAAATTATATAATTTTTATGGTTGGGGGGGGTCACCACAACATGAGGAACTGTATCAAAGGGTTGCAGCATCAGGAATGTTGAGAACCACTGATCTAATACAACAGAACTGATTCTACATCTTTCTTTCACAGAATTGACTGAAAATGGAAATGTACAAACCTTTTCATCTTTGGATCATGCTACAAAAATGATATATTTCTGAATGAACCTACATGGAAAAAAGAAATTTTATTCTTTTATTTATTCTATGTATAATATGGCATTCATTTGAATTTGACCCATGGACTCTATATGCTTCTCAATTACATGCAAAAATGTACACAAAATAGTTTGTAAAAAATTGGATTTATTATTCATATTACTTTGAGAATCTATTTCCTTTCCAGTCATTTCAATAAAATAATCTTTTAGGCATATTAAGTTGTCTTGTCTTTATTATAATTTTCTAAACTTTCTAAAGATTATTCAGTTTTAATGTAAGCTTATTATGAACATTAAAATTCATCATATAATTAACTACTGGGGAGAGGCAGACCAATATCATTTGTAATCAAAGGCTGAAGCCTGATAAACAAGAGTCTGAGTCCAGAATGATCTATATAGTGAATTCTGGTAATCTGCTACCTAATGAGAACTTGTCTAAAATCAAAATAAAATAAAGTACTATAAATAAAAATCCAAAAGAGAAAAATAAAGCAAACATACCCACAATGATGGCGTTAAGAACATCTGAAAATCAAATGTAAAGTTTTGAAATGATGATTAGACAAATGTCAAGGTGCAGAGGAAAAGTCAGCTTGCTGTATATATTCCATCTGTTCCTGGCAATCTTGGTTTAAACATATTTTCCTGTGCAATTATTACATCTGTGACTGACGTTCATCCAAAAGGATCTTATACTGGGTAGTAAACTCTGTGGTCATTCTAGGAAAATAGTTTCTAATGTGAAGTTTGTTGCTTACCTCTGTCACATGGTAGCTAAGTGAGACTTTTGGAAGTGGGTGTTTCTTCTTTCAGTCTTTCAATTTCTACATTTATAAAGTGCCACAACCTGAACTTCTAATTCCCTTTGCACTAGATATCAATCCTCTACCACAATCAGAACTGTATTAGCCCAGTAAAGAAAGTTGTATGTTATTTTGTGATTACAATTATTCCTGACTATGTTGTGGTACACACTCTCTCTCTTTCTTTCTATCATAACTTTTTCATGTATAAATTATCCATTTTATTTAATCATTTTTCAGTGTAGAGTTAATGTCCTGAATTTGTGCAGTAACTCACATCAAACAAGTAACTTTTCTTCTATCTCCAGAGTTTCCCAAGCCTTATTTTACTATTATTCTGAAAAACAAAACAAAACAAATCAAAAAACAACAAAAAAAAAACCTTATTTGGGCTCAGTTGTCTCTCTTGAAAGGAAACCTTCTTTGATGTAGAACTTGTAAATTTCTCCCACTTCTTTGCTTTATTCTAGACTTCTTTTAATTATAAACCTACAGTCTATTTTGTCACACACATAGGAAATTTAGGAGTCATTATTAATTCATCCCTTTTCTTCATCATTATGCTGGATTCCAGTGTCATTCAAGATCCATGCCCTTTTAGAGTCTCAGATTTTAACTTTATTTGAAAATCAAGTAACTGAAAATATAGTTGAGGTGGTATCATATTAATGTAAATTTGTCTTTTAATTCAACAAGATTGTTTTCCTTATGATACAAGGAGAAGAGATACACACACACACACACACACACGAGAGAGAGAGAGAGAGAGAGAGAGAGAGAGAGAGAGAGAGAGAGAGAGAGAGAGAGA